GCTTCTGAGCAGCTTTGAACCTTTTCCTGTTGTGTGATGTCTGCAGCTCTGCTTGCAGATTTTTGAGGCACTTAAAGCCTTAAGCACCATCCAGCTCCATGCAGTAACTCACTAAAGCCCTTTCTCCCCAGGTCATCCTGGCCCGGCAGTATGGCTCTGAAGGCAGGTTCACTTTCACATCCCATACCCCTGGCGAGCATCAGATCTGTCTTCACTCCAATTCCACCAAGTTCTCCCTTTTTGCTGGAGGCATGTTGGTAAGTGGATTCGCATGGAACTTGTACTTTTAGCTTTTAGCAACCCTGTTCAGGATTGGGGACTGGTGATACTGTGGGTATGAGATGAGTATGTGGAGCTGTTTGCATATACCTTGGACAGAGCATCAGCCAAGGCTTACTCTTTTCTGTGTGTGTAGAGCTCCATAGAGCTGGGCACTGAGGAGGCTTCATCAGGGTTGGCTTGATGAACAATTTAAGGAAGATGGGTGGACTGTCAGTCCTTGCCATGAAGAGGGAGCACACTACCTGATTGTCTTTACCTTCCTTGTCTGTCCACAGAGAGTTCATCTGGACATTCAGGTGGGTGAACACGCCAATGACTATGCAGAAATTGCCGCCAAAGACAAGTTGAGTGAGTTACAACTACGAGTACGACAGCTGGTGGAGCAAGTAGAGCAGATCCAGAAAGAACAGAACTATCAGCGGGTGAGTGGCTAGGCTCGGATCAGTGGGCTTCTTAGAAGCTGCCTACTGGCTCAGCCAGGAGTTACATGTCAGATTTATTATGAAACATACCAGGTTGTCTATTTTGCAAGTCTAAAAGGTGGGATGGCTATTATTAACTCTGTTTTGTATTTGAGGAGACAGTCTCTTAAGGTTGTTCTTGCCCTAGGTCATACAGTTACACAAAGTGACAGCAGGAAATTGATACCAAAACTTGGGTTCTATTTCCATGGCTATAGGTCAGTGGTTGGCAAACTCAACAGAGCCAAATATCAACAGAACAATTATTGAAATTTCTTTTGAGAGCCAAATTTTTTAAACTTACACTTTTTCAAAATAGACTCACCCAGGCCTTGATATTTTGTGGAAGAGCCACACTCAAGGGGCCAAAAAGCCGCATGTGGCTCAAGAGCTGCAGTTTGCTGACCACGGCTCTAGGTGATCCCAAGGGTTGTAAACTCACCAGTGTCCAGGAGTAAGCAGGTTCTATTAATGGATCTATGACCATAGGATTGGTAGGATAGTAAACTGCCTAACTAGGGACTGTTGTCAAGCCAAGGAATGCCTAGCTGGCTCTGCGGTTTTTTTTTGTTTTGTTTTGTTTTTTTTTTTAAATATATTTTATTGATTTTGTACAGAGAGGAAGGGAGAGATAGAGAGTTAGAAACATCGATGAGAGAGAGTCATCGATCAGCTGCCTCTTGCACACCCCCCCACCGGGGACATGCCCGCAACCAAGGTACATGCCCTTGACCGGAATCGAACCCGGGACCTTTCAGTCCCCAAGCCGACGCTCTATCCATTGAGCCAAACCGGTCCCGGCTGGCTCTGCGTTTTAAGAGGAGCTGGAGGTCCAGGTTTTTTGTGTGAAAAATTCATTGGTTTTAAAAATACTGTATGAGCCAAGCAACACACATGTATGGGCCAGGTGTGGCCCCTGGACCACCAATTTGCAACCTGTGCCCACAATTTTCAAGGAGCAGTTTGGGAAACCTGAGCGGAGGACTCAGAGCAAGCCCATTCCTGGACACTTCAGGACAGCTCTGTCTGATGGTGATATCACAACTACTTTACCTCTCCTCTAAGCTCCAGGGTAGGACTGGGAGTCTGTAACTGACAGAGCAAACAGACGTAAGTTACCTGAGGTCATCTGGCTAGTGAGGGTGAAGGGAGTCCCCACGTGGGGTGTCTCTGCAGCTTTTGACTGCAGAACTCGGCCCTGGACCATCCTCCAGGGAGGGAACCCAGCAGTTCTAACAGACCCAGGTGGGGCCCAGCCAATTCAGGCTCTTCTTCCATTCTCCCCTCCCACAGTGGCGAGAGGAGCGCTTCCGGCAGACCAGCGAGAGCACCAACCAGCGGGTGCTGTGGTGGTCCATTCTGCAGACCCTCATCCTCGTAGCCATCGGTGTCTGGCAGATGCGACACCTCAAGAGCTTCTTTGAAGCCAAGAAGCTGGTGTAGACATCCTCCCAGGCTGGGGGAGAAGAGGCCTCCTGGAACTGATTTCTCTCTGGCAGGAGGACTGATTCCCAGCCATGGATGTTCTGGAGGGAAGAGAGGTCACAGGCACCCCAGGCACAAGCTAAGGGGAGCAGCTCACCTAGAGCATACTGAGCAGGTGGTGGGGCAAGTGCCTGCCCCCTCTCCTGAGCTCTGGGCCTTTGCAGTAATCTCCTAGGGTCTATTGAAGCCACTGGGAGTCCCACTGGCACCTCAGAATCACAATGTTACTGATCAGGGATGTGAGGCTGTTATCTGGGGTGGCTGCAGGGAGGGGAGTGGGTGGGCAAGCCAGTTTTCTTTTTGTCTTCCTTGCTAACTTGGGATTTTAGGCAGGTTGTGATACAGCTGTGATTCTCTGCCACCCTGAGAATCTCCTTGGGCCCAACTCAGCCTGCTGATCCAGGGTGTGTGTTTCAATTGAGGGTAGGATGGAGGGGGTTGCAAAGTGGGAAAGTGGTCCTGAGGTTGACTCTAGGTTTTTCACATAGATGTCCTTTTTGGGGCTCGGGATCAGGGCAAGCAGAGGTCTTGGTGCTGGCTGGGGATGGGGCCTGCAGAGTCTTAGTTACTGATTTCATTTTCAATAAGCCTAGGTTTGTTACATTGGTTTCCCAATAAAAAATTTAAAAAAAGACTTCTTGTACAATGTAAAGTTACTCTACTATCAGTGGGCATAACACTTCAGGGAATGTCAGTTCTTCCAGTGGGCAAAGCACTTCACATTCCAAGTTGAGGACCCACCTTTGAACATCAATCTTTGTTTTTTAAATATATATTTTTATTTATTTCAAAGAGGGAGAGAGGGATAGAAACATCAATGATGAGAGAAACATCATGGATTGGCTGCCTCCTGCATGTCCTCTACTAGGGATTGAGCTGGCAACCTGGACACATGCCCTGACTGGGAATTGAACCGTGACTTCCTGGTTCATGGGTCAATGCTCATCCACTGAGCCACATGGTGCTGAACTTCATTCTTTTTTTTTTTTAATATATTTTTTTTATTATTGATTTTGTACAGAGAGATAGGGAGAGAGATAGAGAGTTAGAAACATCGATGAGAGAGGGTCATCGATCAGCTGCCTCTTGCACACCCACTACTGGGGATATGCCCGAACGAAGGTACATGCCCTTGACCGGAATTGAACCCGGGACCTCTCAGTCCCCAAGCCGACGCTCTATCCATTGAGCCAAACCGGTCTTGGCTGAACTTCATTCTTTTTATCCTCTCCATATCTTCCCATAGCAGAGGGTAGTGGTTTTGCCCAAGAACATCCAACAAATAAATTGGTTTGGGGTTCAAATCCACACCACTTCTCTGTCAGCTCCCTCATGAAGTGCCATCCCTGCCTTTTCAGAGTAGGTGGACTCAGGATAGACTTGTCATGGTGCTGTAAGGAAATGCCTAGTTAGAATGAAGGGTTTATGTTTTTTTAAAAAAAATATTTTATTGATTTTTTTTTTTTTTTTTTTTTACAGAGAGGAAGGGAGAGGAATAGAGAGTTTGAAACATTGATCAGTTGCCTCCTGCACACCTCCTACTGGGGATGTGCCCACAACCAAGGTACATGCCCTTGACCAAAATTGAACCTGGGACCCTTCTGTCTGAAGGCCAATGCTCTATCCACTGAGCCAAACTGATTAGGGCTAGAATACAGTTTTGTTTTTAAAAAATAGGAATGCTGCAGGTGTGGGAAGGACAGAAATCCTTGAGTAGGCAGGGATAAGGATATTGATGGGCTTAAGCAGTAGCATGGAATCAACTGCCTCTTGCATGCTCCCTACTGAGGATTGAGCCTGTAACCCAACCAGGAAGTTTCCCCTATTATTAACGTCATATATTAGTATGATACATTTGTTAGAAATTAATGAATGGAGCCAGGCGGGTGGCTCAGTTGTTTGAGCGTTGTCCCATGAACCAGGAAGTTTGATTTCCAGGTCAGAGCACATGCCAAGGTTGCAGGCTCCATCCCCAGTAGAGGGCATGCAGGAGGTAGTAGCCGATAGATGCCTCTTTCTCATCAATGTTTATATCTCCTCTCTGAAATCAATAAATACAATTTTATTAAAAATTAGTGAATTTAGTAATACATTATTTTTAACTAAAGTCCATACTTAATGCAGATTTCTTGAGTTGTGACCTATGTCCTTATTCTGATTGCCTCTATGAAAGTCTGAGAAACTCACTGCCAAGAGAAGCCCAAAGAGACAACTAAATCTAAATCTATTGTGCCCATCTCTGTACCAAGTTTATTTTTTCCTTTAGTCCTCACAGCAATCATGTAGATCAGGCACTTAGGAGAGGGAACAGAGTTTGTTTTGCCCCCAAACATAGCTGAATTGAGGGAGTCAAGTTTGGAATCCAGTCCATCTGTAGTGCCTGGCTCTAACTCCATGGGGCATCTCTTGAACGCAAGACTAAGCCCTGAGCCTGGCTTTGCGGTCCTCCAAGCTTGTTGCAGAGGAAGAAGGCACCTGAGTTGACAGCCAGGAGGCTCAGAAGCTCCTTGCCTTCCCTTGGGAGGAGGAGGAAGTTGCACATTACCCCCGGGCGCTGGTTTGAGAGTCTGGAGTTTTCAGTCCAGCCCCAGCCCAGTGACTTGTGCCCCCTCTGGGACCTCAGTTTCTTGGGATGCGAAGAAGCGGGGGCAGTCAGCCGCCAAGTGGTAGTCGTGCTCGCGTGTTTTTCCACAGGCGGAACCTTAAACGCCACAGCTCCGGGGAGCAGCCGGCGCGGCCGGAGCGGAGGACCCGCAGGACCGAGGGGCGGGGCGACCGGTTGGGGCGGGGCGGGAGGCGGAGGTGCCGCGTAGGCCGAGGAGGCCGGGCTGCCCGGCCGGGAGCTCGAGCCCCATGCGCGGCCGCCAACCCCCGCGATGCTCCCCTCCCGGAGGAAGGCGGCGCAGCTGCCCTGGGAGGACGGCAGGTGAGCGGCGGCGGCCCCGGGCCTGTCCTCCGGGGGCCGATCTTCACCCGCCGCGGGGCGGAGTCTGGGAGCCCGAGGCCGCCGCGCCTCCTCTCTGCGGGGCTCCCTGAGGGTCTGCGGTTCTTTCTGCGGGTCACCGGGTCTCTGTAGTTGGGTGTCTGTCTCTGGGTCCCTCCAGTCTATGTCACTGCAGGGCTCCGTCACCCCTGGGTCTGCATCTCTCCGTTAACACTTCCCTTTGTGAGTTTCTGTTTCTCTCTTTGCAAGTCGTTTTCTCTTAGGAGTTTCTCCTCTGGCCTCTCTATCTTAGTGCTGGTCAGGGACTCTGTTGACCTCTCTGAATGGACCTCTGTCTTTCTGTGCCTGGTCTAGGAGTCTGTGTTCCATTTCTCTGGTTTCTACCTCCCCATCACATCCCTGTAGCGGCTAGGGAGGGGCCTCAGACCCTCCCTCCTTCCCGCTTCCCCTTCCCTGCCGGCCACCCAGAGAGCACGCCGAACAGAACAGAGGCTCTGTCCCTCCGCCCGGCGGCCGCTGCCTGGCACGCAGTCAGCTCCGCACTTGACACCGATTCAGTTCCCCGTGTGTTAGGTATGGCCTTGGCCCAGAGCTTAGCTAATGTTTACCACGAAAGCAGAACTGGGGAGATGGGGCTTTTTAGTTGTCTACATTTGGGAGGACACTTCAATCTTGAGATGTGCCCCCAAAACTCCTCTCACCTAGAACCCATAGCGAGTCTTCACCCAGTGAGTGATACCTCGTTCCCTTTAGATCTCTTAACTTTGCCATGTATCAAATGGTTCTGGAATATAGTGGGCACAGCTGTGTATCTCTGGAGATTTTTCAGTGTTGGTGTTGAAGTGAGAAGACAGGAATATAATAGAAAGAAAGCCCGAACTGTGAAGTCAGCCCTGGACAGAAATCCTCTTTAATCGTCATGTGGCCAGAAACATATCACTTAATCTTTCTGACTTCAACTTTTCCATCTCTGAAACCGGGAAGAGAGCTATATGAGGACTGAAGGAGACAAACGGAAAGTCCTTGATACTGTGCCTGGCACAGGGGAGGTACCTTCCACTTACCCTTGTCATTTGGAGGTACTGTCATCAGAGCATTTGAGTATTCAAACCTTGTATCTCTTTGATTTGTGTGAGAGAAGAAAGGAAAGATAGTGGAGGAAATTTTTCATTTCCTGATCCCTTTCCATAAACCTTTGGGAAAAAACTGTGTTCTCGAAAAAGTTACTGATACCTCTTCTCGCTTTTGACTCAGGGTTACTGGAATCCATGCAGGCCAATGTAGCAATGAAGGGTGCTGGCTGCAGAGCCAGCCTGCCTCAGTTTGAATCTTCTCTTTCCTAGTCTTGGGCACAGGTTGAAGAGGGAGAAAAAACCTCATCTGGTCTGCCCCTCAGAGCAGGATGGCCTGGGCCCTGGGAGCCGATGGGACTACAGATCTGGAGTTTGCCATCAGGTGGCATCAGGACAACTTCTCAGTATTGTCCACTGTCCCAAGGAATTGGGATTCAGCTCTGAATTAAGTTGTTCAGCAGTTTAGACTTTTAACAGCTCTGGATGAGGGTGCCCAATGGGGATGTGATACTGGTAGGAAGGGACAGTTAGATCCAGGAAACAGCATGTGAAAGTGCGTGAAATGCCCAATTCGTGCCATACTCTGGATAATGGTCATTGCTTCTTCCCCTGAAGGTGGGATAGTTCCCCATGTCCACGTCCCCGGTCTCCACCCCACCCCCAGAAAGAGCTCAGAGGGAGAATCAGTAGAGACTCCAACCTTCCCAGGCCACTGGCAGGATTGGGTTCTGCTCCCCATCGGAAACCCCCACCTCAGGACAATGGGGGGTAAGTCAGAAGCCCCCTGTGAAGGTGTCCTACCCAGCCATCTCTCTGCTGTGTGTGGGACCTGGACCTGGCTTCAGGACTGCTGGCTTTCTGGTTGGCAGTTGTGCCATTATAGAGGCAGGAGCTGGTGTGGCTCTAACGGTGTGACTTAAAGCATGCCCTTGCTGCTTGAACCCTTCCTGTAACTCACTTAGCATGACCTCAGCTGTGTGTCTGGTGCTGCAGCCACAGACAGGAGCCTGGTTATGTATGGGGAAGCCAAGCAGGGACTTGGGAAATTACAAACCTCTAAGTTCTCCAGAGTGAAGTACCAGATGTCATGGAAACACAGAACGTGCATGTATCTCAGTTTGTATACGTGAGAAGATGGGCAGTGCTGGCCATGACATTGGAGTTTGGCCCTGAAGGATCAGTGAGGGGCTTTCAGACAGATAGAATAGGAAGGGCATTTCAGGCAGAAGCAGCAGGCTGTGTGAGGCTGGAGCAGGAAGGAATATGTTGAGCAGAGAAGCTCAGAGTTGGCCAAATTATAGCACTGGATGAGTGGTAAGGGGCAACGAGGTGGGGCCAGGTCACAGAGGGGTTTGACTGTCAGGCCAAGGGATTGGGTCTTTTTCTTGTAAACAGAAGGGGATCATCCATGAGCTTGAAGAGGTCTGAGCTAGACAAGGACCAATGAGACCTGAGCACAGAAGAGAGGCAGTATGTGAGGAAGGGTCAAGGGACTCTTAGGAAGTAGAATCTATAAGCCTGGTAGCTGCATGGTAACTCAGAGAGGTTGCTTTGCTGATTATTTCATGGGGCATTCTGCAGAGGAAACCTCCCTTTTCTTGGATTCCTCAGCTCCTCCTTCACTACCCTCAGGAACTTCCAGAGAGAAGGCAAAAGAATCAGGTGAATTCACTTGTTTTTTTTGTATTTTCTAACCTAAAGGCCAATCTCTCGACACTACCGCAGCGTTTAAGATACCAGCTGTCTTCCCAGTTTCTGAAATGAGCCGGGGTGCTGGCCGCAGCCCCAATCTTTCTTTCCCGAGTCCACTTCTCAGCTCTTGTCTCAGGGGCTGCCTGTTGGGCTGAAGCTTTTGAGGCTTGTTCAGGAACTGCCACTGCCAGTTTGGGCCTTGCATTAATCTGCGGGCAGGCCTGATCTTCCGAAAATAAACATTGGGGTTTTTGACTGGGGATTGATGCCAGCACAGACCCAGATCTTGGGGAGCTTTCTGGTGTGAGAAGCAGGATGAAGCCGATGTTGCAGCAGGTGGTGAACATGCAGGGTGTGCGAGGCATTGGGTGAGGTCTCTAAGTCCAGGCTCCTGCCATCAGCTAGGACGGGAACCACTGTCCTGTGGTGGGGCAAGTGCCAGATACAGGAGCCTCATCCCAGCCTTCGTGGTCTGGCCAGGCTCATTCACAGAAGATAAGAAAGCATCAGGAATGGGCAGCTCTTTGACCCAGGAGTGGTCGGAGGGCTTTCTGGAGGCGGGGGCATGGGCTGTATTCTGACACATGGTAGCAGCATGAGAAAAAGCATTAAAGTTGCTTCTGCACTAATTCCCAGGTGCTTAGGCAGACCAGCCCTGCTCGTAGGGAAGCCAGAGAAGGGGTCTATGCCGGTCGCAGACCAGACCTGCCCTTCTGACCATCCCTGCTCTTGTCCCAGGTCCAGGCTGCTTCCCAGCAGCCTTCCCCGGAAATGCTCCGTCTTCCACCTCTTCGTTGCCTGTCTCTTACTGGGCTTCCTCTCCCTGCTCTGGCTGCAGCTCAGCTGCTCCGGTGACGTGGCCTGGGCAGCCAGGAAACAAGGGCAGGAGACCCCAGGTCCACCCCGGGCCTGTCCCCCAGAGCCGCCCCCTGAGCACTGGGAAGAAGATCGGTCATGGGGCCCCCACCGCCTGGCAGTGCTGGTGCCCTTCCGGGAACGCTTTGAGGAGCTCCTGGTCTTTGTGCCCCACATGCATCGCTTCCTGATCAGGAAGAAGATCCCACACCACATCTACGTGCTCAACCAGGTGGATCATTTCAGGTAGGGACTGCTGGCCCCTGCTCCCCTCTCCAGGGGCGTCACCGTGTCCAGGCCTCTCAGGGCCTGCTCCCTTTCCCGGCAGCAGCCCAGTGCTGGTGGGCCTCAGACCTGCGAAGGGCCACCTAGGTCAGTGGCAGGAGGGAAGGAGGTGGGACCCTTCTCACTGGGTTTGACAGAAATCTTTGGGGAAAGTTTGGGGCTGGGGAGGGTTCTGATCTGATTTCCATTTTAAAATAGGGGTGCTGTGTGTGAAGTAGATTGTACCAGGACAAGAGGAGGAGCAGGAAGAGCTGTGGGTGGTCACTGCAGTTGTCTGAGATGGTGAACACTTGGCCAGCATGTAGAAGGGATGGAGGAAGCACAGACAGGGCTTGCCAGGGGATTGGTGGTGAGGATTAGGCGAAGAGTGTCAATACAATGACTTTAAAGTTGTTCACAGTCTGGCATTATCCTGAAATCTTTGCACATACCGAAATCTTTTCTCCATAATCATAATTGAAGCATCTCGCATTTCACCCCCACCTTTCCCTTCAATTCCTTCCCTCTGGAAACTCGCAACAGTTCCTAGACCCCACTGGGCCCTGTAGTCCGGATACTCCCAATTTTCTTTCTTTCTTTCTTTCTTTTTAATTTCTTGGGGTGACATTAGTCTACATGGACATATTGGTTACATGTGTGGATTACTAATTTACAAAATCTGTATATAGGACCATGTGCCCACCACCCCAAATTTTTTCTTTCTTTTTATTTTGAGAGTACCTTTATTAAAGCGGGGACAGGGAAACAAAGGAAGGGCTTAGGGTAGAGGAAACAACAGGAGAGAGAGAGTGAGTGCCAACAAGTGCTCTGCTTTGGCTCTCTAGAACCGTTATAGGAAAGAAGTGGGCCACGCTGGGCTGAATTCACTGAGAAGTAAAGTCACAGTGAAAGTCCTGGCCAGTTTTTCTCAGTGGTTAGAGTGTTGGCCTATAGATCAAAGGGTCTTGGGATTAATTCAAGGTCAGAGACACATACCACAGTTGCAGGTTCAATCCCTGGCTCCAGTCAGGGCACAGTTAGGAGGCAACCAATCAATGTATCTCTCTCTCTCTTCCCTTCCACTCTCTCTAGGAATCAATGGGGGAAAAATATCCTCTGGTGACGATTAACAACGAAAAAAGTCACAGTGAAAGAAGTGAGCCAGGGCTGGTTTTAGCTCACTGAAAAGTCTAGGACAGGAGAAGCAGCAGGAGGTAGCCTTGGTGGTGGTCTGATTGGCTCTCTAGAAACGTTAAAAGAAAGAAGTGAACCAAGACATGGTTGGTTATCTCACCGAAAAGAGAAAAGGGGGCCTTGAAGACAGGTTCAGGGTGTAAGTCAGGGATGAGCTGCCACTGCCATTGCTTCTCTGGTTGGAATCCTTAGAGTTTAGGAGAGGAAAGTAAAGTGTACCTCAGAGGGAAGAAAGGTGAGTGTGCTCCGGAGAGAGCCTGCCGATGCTCCCAATGGTCATCCTCTACGCCCCACTCACTCACTACTGCCTCAGAGCCCCCTTCCCCTGATTTCCATAGGACTCTCCTTGTCCTCACTTTCTCCTGCCTAACTTGGATTCCATGGCTCATTGTTAATATCCCTCCCCTGCACATATCTCGGTCCCCTTGCCCCTTTCTGCCTGGCACAACTTCTGCCTGATGAAACCTGACTGTTCCTGGGCAGCTGATGTGACTGGAGACAATGAGCCCTGGCCCAGGAAGCGCCTCTGCCCTGCCTGAAAGCCTTGAATTTCTCTAGTCTGCTGCCTTTCCTCTCTCCTCACCCATCCTCCCCACAACTTTGCTTTCTATTTGAGAAAACAGAACTAATTGGAAGAAAACGTGTGCAAGTCCCCAACCCCTGGCCCTGTGTGCCAGCTTCTGGGCACGGTTGCTTTTGATGTTTTGTCCCGCTCTGCTGGGGGAGCCTTCCACTGGCACTGGCTCCCTTTCTTGTCTTACTCAAGGACATCACTCCAGTTGTAGGCCCTTTTCTGTCCTACATGGCCAAGTTTTTCTTCCTTTCTGGATCATTTGCATCAGCATACATTGCCCTCAGCTATCACCTCCTTTCTCTGCTCCCCTTTATAGCAAAACTCCTCCCATTCCTCCCCTAATTGCTAAAACAGCTCTCACTGACATCACCAATGAACCTTATTAATCATCTTCATTCTGTAGACATCTCAGCAGCATTTCCCAAATGGATTACTTCTTTCTTCCTCAAACAACTGTCTGACTTCCGGGGCAGCCTCTCTGAATCTCCTCCTTTCTCACTGGCTGCCCTCCCCACCTTTCCAGGTTCTGCCTCATCTCCCCGGTCTCTTGGTCTCAGTGCTCTTGAGTGTCTCCTTGCTGGCTACAGTCACCCCCTGGGGGATCTCATCCAGGCTCAGAACATTAGGTCCCATCTCTACTCTGGTGACTCCCGAGGCTGTATTCCCAGCCTACACTTCTCTCCTGAACTCCAGACCTGCACATCCATCTGCTTACGCAGCTCTCCATTTACTGGGCTCAGAAGCACCTCAAGTTTTCTTGATCAAAGCTGAATTGCCCAGATCAGCTTCTCCTGCCTCTTCCCCAACTGGGAAATGGCAATTCTATGCTGCCAGTTATGCAGCCCAAAAAGCCTTGGAATCATTCTCTACTTTTCTTTCTGCCTCACACGGGACATCCAGTTCATCAGCAGAATCCAAATAGAACCTGCCCACTTCTCACCGTCTTCACTGCATCTCCCTGAGCTAAATCACTGTCATCTCTTGCCTAAATTATTGTAATGGCCTCTCAACTCAACTCTATGCTTCCACTTCGGTCCTCTAATCTCTTTTCAACACCCCAACTGGAGGATCCTGTTGCACCCTAAGTCACAGTGTGTCATGCCTCTGCTCTAAGCCCTCCAGTGACTCCCCATCTCATTACGGCCAAAGCCTGAGCCCATCAGGGGCCTGTCACCCCCTGACCTCATTCTCTACGCCCCACTCACTCACTACTGGCCACATTGGTGTCTGCCCTGCCTCAGACCTTGGTAAGCACTCTCTCCTCTGCTCAGAGCCCCCTTCCCCCGATTTCCATAGGGCTCAATCCCTCTGGCATTCAGGTTTCTACTCACCCTTCACCCTATTACCCTGACCACCTCTCTAAAAGAACAACCACCTCATGCTTTGACCTCCTGCTTTGCTTTTTCCCACAACACTTACCACTATATGGCTTCTTAAGTATTTATTTGTTTATTTTTTATCTCCTGTTATTAGAATATCAACTCCTTGAGGGCAGGGCTTTGGTTTTCACTGTTATATCCTATGCTCTCAGCAGTTTCTGGCATATAGCAGGTGCTCAGTGAACATTTGGGCGATGAATGGAGGAGCAGATGTGAAGCTGGATAGCTCCACAGTGAAATCAGTGTCGCCTGGAGGGCAGCATAGGCCCCAGGGTGGGTGGTGTAGAGGACGGGCTCTCCTGCAGAGTCTGGGGAGAGCCAGCTCGCTGCCTGTACCCTGCCCAGCCTTGGCCGTCCTGTACAGGTTCAACCGGGCGGCACTCATCAATGTGGGCTTCCTGGAGAGCAGCAACAGCACAGACTACATCGCCATGCACGACGTGGACCTGCTCCCTCTCAACGAGGAGCTGGACTATGGCTTCCCTGAGGCGGGGCCCTTCCATGTGGCCTCCCCAGAGCTCCACCCCATCTACCACTACAAGACCTATGTCGGCGGCATCCTGCTGCTCTCCAAGCAGCACTACCAGCTGGTGAGGCCCAGCCAGCCTTTCTGCTGAGCCAGGGAGCGCCCACCTGGGTGGGGGCGCTGACAGGAGGAGCAGCAGTTTGGGGGCCCAGCAGGGAACCCAGGAGCAGCCAGAGACAGGGGAGAGGAGCAGGAACAAGCAGGTCGGTTAGGGAGGATTCAGGCGCAGCACAGAAAGCCCGTGAAAGGTGGCTTCATAAAAGTTGGGTTCATTGAGTCTTAAAATGGATAAGCCTGGCTGGGCTGAGAGGAGGGTGTTGCTTCCTGTGTGGCTGCCCAGCTTCAGACAGTGTCACTGGGGCACCGTTTCTCTTTCCTCGTTTCTCTCATTTCTGCCCTCTTTAGACAGGATTTCTTTCCAGATACTCAGGGTGGAGGGTGGCGGTTGTAGTTGCAGTCTGTATCTGTCTAGGCCCAAGTCTACCAGAAGAGGGAGCTCCCTCTCCAACAGCCAGACAGGAGTCCCAGAGCCGTACCACACAGATTCTTGATTGGCCTGACCTGTGTCCTGGGCCCATCCCTGAGTCAGTCACTGTGGGGAAGAGGGGGAAGAACTGAGTAGCTTAGACCTGAGTCTCCTGCTCCTCACAAAACTAAAGCCACTTTATGTAAATGAAGTCCCTAATCTGGTAGCAAAAACTGGTATCTGCCAAAGAGCCCAGCTGTTCCTCTCCCACACAGAGAAAGAAACGAGGGCTGAGCCCAGAAGAAATGGGAAGGGGCAAGCAGGAATTGGTACTTGTGCCCATTACCAGCTACCCAGAGAGGTGCCCTCCTGCCAGTCAGATATTTGGGAGAAACAAATAATCTCACACAAGTTCCAGGCCCCATTACATGGGCACAGGGTCTGGGATGTGCTGACTGTCCCCCCAATACTGCAGAGGTTGTGGGAACTGCATCTGAGTGGTAAGAGACTAGAGAGCACACTGGGCGGATGAGGCAAGTGACGCTGTCTGTCTCTGTGTTAGTGCAACGGGATGTCCAACCGCTTCTGGGGCTGGGGCCGTGAGGACGATGAATTCTACCGGCGCATCAAGAGAGCTGGGCTCCAGGTAACACCCCCAGGTCCCCTACCTCCACCTCAGCCATCATGGCTGCCCTGAGGCTCCCTTCTCTGCCCTCCGCTTGGAGATCCTCAGCTGGCTCTTTTTTTTTTTTCTTCTTTTTTTTTTTAAGGTTTTATATGTGCTCAGGTGGTTCTGATCCTAGTCCTGCCCCCACCTTAGCACACCTCTTCTGCAAAATGGGAAGACAGGCCCTGGCCTGTGGCCTGTGGCAGGCAGTGGGACCCAGAGGACTAGTGAGGGCCAGGGCTCCAGGAGGGATGGCCTAACCCAATTTCCTTTGGCCTCAGCTATTCCGCCCCTCGGGAATCACAACTGGATACAAGACATTTCACCACCTGCATGACCCAGCCTGGCGGAAGAGGGACCAGAAGCGCATTGCAGCTCAAAAACAGGTGCTGACTGGTTCCCAGATCAGGCATGGATAGGCGGTGACATGGGGGAGCGAGTAGGCCCAAGCATTTCACCAAGTTCTACTTGAGTCAAAATGGCTCTTCCCACTCCTTTTTGGCCCAGCTCAGTCGATGGCGTTTTGTTTGGGTACCTTTCCCTGGTTGGTGGCTGCTATGGGTCCTGCGACCTGGGTCAGATGACCCCCATGCAGGCTGGGTGGAGGGGACTCAGCTGAAGATGTCAGAATCCCAGGCGGACCTGCAACCCAAGAGTTCCCATCCCTCAAACAGCTCTTCTCTAGGAGCCACACTAGTGAAATGAAAACCCCTGCTCTCCTGCTTACCGGGGCATACCGCTGTGGGAGAGCCTTCACAGCTGTGAGCGGCACTCCTGTCTTCATTGGGGTCACAGAACCTCTGATGATGAGGTCCTGGGGCATCCATATTCAGCTGGCTCCTCCCAAGCCCTGAATATATGCTCTCTCCCCTTTTCCTTCCTAGGAACAATTCAAGGTGGACCGGGAGGGAGGTCTGAACACTGTGAAGTACCGCGTGGATGCTCGTACAGCCCTGTCTGTGGGTGGGGCCCCGTGCACTGTTCTCAACATCATGTTGGACTGTGACAAGGCTGCTACCCCCTGGTGCACACTTGGCTGAGTTAGTTGGACAGTAAGGAGGCTTGTACCTGCCGAAACCGGTTTGGCTCAGCGGATAAAGCATCAGTCTGCGGACTGAAAGGTCCCAGGTTCGATTCCGGTCAAGGGCATGTACCTTGGTTGTGAGCACATCCCCAGTAGGGGGTGTGCAAGAGGCAGCTGATCGATGATTCTCATCGATGTTTCTAACTCTCTATCCCTCTTTCTTCCTCGCTGTAAAAAATCAATAAAAAATATATTTAAAAAATACTTTTTTAAAATCATTTATTTATTTTTACATATTTTATTGATTTTTTTTTTTTTTTTAAAGGAGGCTTGTACCTACAGGCCACATTGCTACTCAAGCCCTGGACAAAGCCTCAGGCCCTGGGCCCAGCTCCAATAGGACGTGGAGCATTCTGAAGCAGTGGACAGCAGGCTACGTGTTTGCAGCAGCCTGGCCCCCAGAGGGAGCCTGAGCCAGGACAGAACACACAGGATGTCTGGGATGCTGCTAGCAATAAACAGTGATGGAGAGAGGCTGGGATGTGGCTCCCAACTGGGACTCTGCCCTGCCTTTGCTTGCCCTGCTCTGCCCTCCTTTGCATGCTGGGACCTGAAGGCTTTTGTTCCTTCCCCCTGGACCGCCTCATGCAGAGGTATGGTTTAGAGGCCATGCTGCTGATCTGAGTGGCTAGGGCCATTGGGAGGCTTAAAGTGCAGGACCCAGAGAGCAAGCCCCACAGAAAGGGCATGACTGAGAGCAGCTCCAGCAGGGTGTCACCATGTAGGAAAGAGGGCCTGTGTTGCCAGATCTGATTTTTTAAAAGAAAGTAGAAGTCTGGATTCTTAAGTAAAATTGGTTAATTATTAAATGATAGCAACTAATTGAAACTTAAAGAAAGTATGGCAATCCAAACAAAATGTGATGTGAACCACCAGTTTGCCACCTATGGCTGAGGGGAAGGGAATAGGAGAAAAGATGACATCTCTCTTTGCTACAAGCTGGCAAGGAGTTGGGTTAGGGCAGGGATGGCAAGACTAGGGGAAGCTCAGGTGGGAGAGAAGCCAGAGGCACAAGGTTCCTGTACCGCCCACAGCCCTCTAGGCTTTGTTGCCCTCGGGGCAGTGTGACCACCGCCAGGCTCTAGCGAGCTCATACTCTGGGAAGGGGACTGCACTGCCTCACTAAGACGGACAGATTCAGAGGACTGGACTCAGGGTAGGCAGGATGTGTCGGCAGTGGCTCAGTCATGGCTTGAGGGAATAAGGGAATGAGGGCCGTGTTTCTGACGCCGGAGTAAGAAGATGAGAAGTGGGAGAATCCCTGGGGTTCCCACAGCACAAGCAATCACACAATGCCAAGGAGAGGTGAAGGAGGGGAGCTCAGGAGACTGGAATTGGGGAGTGATCTTGGAGGGGAGCCTGGGGCCAGGGAGAGAGTGGGAGGCCAGGAGCCCTGCAAAGTAGATCACTTCTTTAAGGTGTCTGGCTGCCAAAGGTTGGCAGCAGAAGTCCGAGGAGATGGAGGACAGTTAAGGCTGGTTTAACAATAAATAGGACACCTGAAATACTAAAGACTCCTCCTCTGAGCTGCTGTGTGCAGTTGTGTGGGTTGTGCACTGTACAACCTAAGCATAAGCGAAGAGACTTGAGCAAAGATGAGCAGAGTGAAGCTTCGGGCTCCATGTAACTGTTCAGATGTATAATAGAGGGTCCTTGTGATCCTAAATTGGTCTTACCCAGTGATTTAGCCCCACAGAGGGACAAACAGGCTGCAATTACAGTACAAGGGTAGTGGGCAGGACTTTCTCAACTTGAGATCCAGGAGAGGGGAATGGCGTGTTTTCTGTATGTCAGTCTCCCGGGCAACCCTGGCTAAATCATCTTGTACTTAAGTAACATGGAGGCAAAACTCCAGCCTCCTAGAGCTGGTGGGAATGGATGTGATATCATAGCCCTCAGCTCTGTACTCATCTGGCACAGCAAGACCTCACAAATGTGGGTGTTCCTTTATATCTGTACCAAGGATGTGGAATGAGCAGAAGAAAAGCAGGATCAGCTGACTCAGCCTGGGCCCCACACTCCGCATTGGCGGCTGCTGCCATCCCAGGAGAGTGGGAGAGGGCTGAGCAATGGTTTGCAGGGGGAAGAAGCAGGTAGCTCTACTGCTTCCTCAGTGTCTTTGTTGCCTCCTCCCTGTCTCGCTGACCAGGTGTGAATGAAATAAATCCAGGATGAACTAGCACCTGCTGAGCATTTACCGCATATAACATGCTAGGTCTTTATTGGTTAATCAGTTTTGTAGCTGAGGATGGTGAAGCACAGAGAGCTAAGTGGCTTGCCCAAAGATAAAAGAGTTGGTACCTAGTGGAATCTGGCCTTAGAGCCAGATTCCTTCACTCCTGGCCTGCACAGCAGGTCCCATGCACAGATGTTCCTTATCCTCCTCTCCCTAGCTGGAGAGGGCCCATGGGGAGGGCTGGCCATCATGGTTTGATGTTCCTTTCACCGCTGGGATGAAACCAGGGCCAGGGGTGAGATACAAAGTGTCTGCCCCATGCTTCCTCTGGATGAAGATGGGGATTTGGCTGCTGGAGCATCAGTGGGACCAAGAGCATGGCAGTGTGCCTGGGAATGTACGAGGTGCTGGGGGAAGGTCTCCAGGAGACGTGGGCTTGCTGGTGGAGTCAGTTTGCTGTCGGGATGGGAAGAGTTCTGCAGGGGTCAGCCTGTGCAAGGTAGAGAGAAAAGAGAGCATGTTATATTCAGGGACCTGGAGGAGCTCTGGGTGTCCCTGTTTGCCAGTATAGTGCAGGAGTGCGTGTGCGGGGACAGAGGGGAGGGTGGGATGAGCCATGAGGATCTGTATGCCACACGGAACATACACATATACTGTGCTCTCTGGGTTCAGTGTTTTCAAGGCCGGGGAAATTTTTGAGCAGGGAGAGACCTTTCTGAACCCACAACTGTAGTGTATTAGACTGAGCTATCCTGCCAGGGCACCACTGTCAATTTCTTAGTTTTGACCAATGCACTATGGTTAGGTAAGATAATAATCACAGGGAAAGCTGGGTAAAGGCTGGGTAATAGGAATTTTCTGTAATATCTTCCTAATTTTTCTGTAGATCTCAAGTATTCCCAAAGGAAAACCATTTTTTTAAGTTAAGTTATATATGAGCAGCATAACAATTGCTCAGTAAATGATGGAATCTTGGCCTTCCCTTCAGGCTGGCAGTTGAGAATTTCCTCTGCTACTGCCTCTGTCTGAGCTATGCCCCGTCACCCACAGGTAAGGCTGAGTTGACTCCCCAGGCTGTGATATAGAAGCAACGGAAACGGTAACTATTGGTTGTCTGAGTATTTCCTTCCCATAGGAAGGGATGTAGATGTTTTTTCTTAATGACTACACCCAGTGTCCCCTTGTCCACTCCTTCATAGAGGCCTTCCTGACTACCCATTCTTAAGAGTTCACACACAAACTCACATACATCATCCCTTTTTATTGCTCTCACAGCTATCACCATTAACTGAAATCTTATTTATTTTCTCTCCCCTGTTCCTTCATCTCACTAGAACATTGGTCCCTGAGCTCAGGACCTGTGAGTCTTGTTCATTGCTTTGTCCTCAGTACCTAGCACAGGGCCTGCTGCCTCACAGGCACTCCGTTTTAATGGAATTGAGTTGAAATTCCCAGGTGGCAGGTTGCGGGCCTGCAGCACCAGCTGCTGCTGCCCAGGCCTTCTCTGCCCTGAAGCTGATGTTTTGCTCTCCTGTCTTGTCTTGAAGACCTGGGGCCACCTCTTCAACACACCTGACTTCATCTTCTTTGTTCACTTGCCCTTTCCATCCTGTTTACCTGTCTGCCAGCAGCTGCTACACTACCTGCCAGCTTTAATTCTGCTTCATTTAAGCTCATTTGCACCAATTTCCTTTTTTAGAACAATCCACGCAGTCCCCCGAAGAGCAGCACATGCTGCGGGCGGCCCTGCTTCCCTTTTCCTAATGAGCACAGAGCAGCAGTTCCTTCCCGCTGAGAACTCACAGAAAGCCCTGTGCCAGGACAGGAGGAGGCCTACACTCAGATGCTCACTACCTAGTGGGCATGAAATCAGGGCACACGCTGCGGAAATTCTGAATGTTAGGGGATGGGAAGTCCAAAGTGCTTTGGGTGCTGACCTGCTTCCTGAGGTGACTTTTCCTCCCTCACAGCTATAGGATCCACCCACGTCCTCATCACTGGGGCTTTAGGCCTCACCGTCCTGGGGCTACAACTCGGGAGAGGGGTCTGTTCTGCTCCCTAGAAATTGGAGTGAGAAAGAGGTTCAGGAGTGGTGGCCCCGCCCCAGGGAATGTTCTCTCTTACCCTTAGAGCTGGCAACACCAGAGGCCGCAGAATTGCCTTTTCTGTGCAGTGGCCCAGAATCTCAGCCCAGAGTGGGAAAACACAGACTTCCCACCACATTGTCACACCCACCTCTCACTTTCTGCTGCTGCAGAAGACTCAGCACATAATGAAATCATATTGCTTTTATAGAAATGAAGCCAAGGCAGGAATGTGGCAGGCAGAAACTGGAGGGCCAATGAGACTCATCGGGAAGAAGAGAAGCTCCTGGGGTTGGATCAGCCAGGATAGGGAACTGGAACTTTGGCCTCAGCCGGAGGAGGTGGCAAGCCCACCTCCACCACCAGTTCACTGCGACCTCAGGCAAGCCCCTGAACCTCTCTGAGCCTCAGTTTCCACATCTCTAAGGTAGAACTTTTCTTTTTCTCTTTTCACATCTCTAAGGTAGAACTTTTCTTTTTTCTCTTTTTAAAAAAATATATTTTATTGATTTTATACAGAGAGGAAGGGAGAGAGATAGAGAGTTAGAAACATCGATGAGAGAGAGTCATCGATCAGCTGCCTCTTGCACACCCCCTACTAGGGATATGCCGGCAACCAAGGTACATGCCCTTGACCGGAATCGAACCCGGGACCCTTCAGTCCCCAAGCCAATGCTCTATCCATTTAGCCAAACTGGTCCCGGCTAAGGTAGAACTTTTCATACCTGCCTGCCTTGCATGGTTGCTGAGAATAAATGCGGTAATGTACATATCTGGTAGTGTATGTATCTGACACATAGGGAGTATCCAATAAGTAAAAGCTTTTATAACCACTTACAGGCTTTAAAACAGTGATGAGGCCATCTTTATGGTGCTTCAGAGAGTCATATTGCCTCATTACCTCAACCATTCCCTCCTAAAAGTGCACTGGGGCTTGCTGAGGGCTTGGAGGGCCTCTCAGAAAGACAGGCATTCTCACATCCACACATGAGGGACTTGGCCTCAGACCTTGAATTCACTGACTTAAAATTAATTGCTATTAGCCAGATTGTGCTCCCTATAATGTTGTAGTGGTTTTAGATTTTTAAAAAGCAAAAAGCTCTAGCTGGTTTGGTCCCGTAGATAGAGCATCAACCTGCAACCTGAAGGGTCCCCAGTTTCATTCTGGTCAAGAGCACATGCCTGGGTACAGGCTTGATCCCCAGGGAGGGGCATGCAGGAGGCAGCCAATCATTCTCTCTCTCCATACTTTGGTATGTTGTGCTATTCAGACATTGTTCCACATAAATTAAAGGGCCCAAATCATGCCCCAAACCATAATACTGCCCCCACCAGCTTGAAGGGTTGCATTCATGCATGTGGGGTGCATGCTTTCATGCCATCTCCGAGAAATTCTCACTCTGCCATCTGCATGATGCAACTGGAAACATGATTCATCAGACTACATGACTTTTTCCAATGCTCGACTGTCCAATCCTTGTGTTCCTGTGCGAATTGGAGACATTTTATCTTGGTAACTGCAGACAGCAAAGGTGTTCTAACAGGCCTTCGGCTTCCATATTCCATACGATGCAGTTTACGGCTAATTTGCCTACAAACATCAGGTGGTCATAATAATCTGACCCCTTTCTTTCTGCTGCTTCCTGCTGGCAAAGGAAAGTTGATGACAAGACTTGAACAAGAGCAAAATATAGTTTTAAATTAAATAATACATTAAGAAAATGAGCTATGTCTAAGGAGAACAAATTCAAGTCTGATCTGGGATTTACAGGTTTGCCAGCCAGTGGTTCTCAACCCTGGCCACTCACCAGAATCCCCTGTGGAGCATTAGAAGCAATAGCTCAGCTGGGGTGGCTCAGTGGTATGAACCAGGAGATCACAGTTTGATTTCCAGGTTGCAGGCTCGGTTCCTAGTGTGGAGTGTGCAGCCAGCAACTGATTAATGATTCTCTCTCATCATTGATGTTTCTGTCCCTTCCTCTTTGAAATAAATAAAAAAATATTTTTTTAAAATTCAGGATCTCTAAACAATAAAATTAAATTTTAAAAATTTTAGCGCAGGGTTACCATGGGGGTAAGAATGGATGGGATGCATTTGGGGAGAGGCAAACAGGCGGCCTTAAAGATTTTCTTGGTTTTCTATTTCCTAAGCTGATGTTTGACATATAAGGGATCATTCTATTATTTTTCACATCTTATATGCATATATTTCTACATATCCATGTGTTACATTTATGACATATAAAGTACTTTAATAAAAAATTGCAGCCGAAACCGGTTTGGCTCAGTGGATAGAGTGTCGGCCTGCGGATTGAAGGGTCCCAGGTTTGATTCTAGTCAAGGACATGTACCTTGGTTGTGGGCACATCCCCAGTAAGGGGTGTGCAAGAGGCAGCTGATTGATGACTCTTTCTCATCGATGTATCTGGCTCTCTATCCCTCTCTCTTCCTCTCTGTAAAAAATGAATAGAATATATTTAGAAAAAAAAAATCCGGTGGTGGGAGTTGAGGGGGTGGACAGAGATTTGACAAGAGCGGCCGGAGATGCTCACTGTAGCTGGCTGGTGGCTACAGGGCTCATTGTTCTCTTCCTTCTGTTTTTACCTCCATGGAAATTTCCCAGGAAGCAGAGAAAAGGGAGGGGGGGGGGAAGGGAAGCAGGGAGGCA